CATGAAATGTTCCCTTGGTATCTCTAATTTTCTTGAAGAGATCTCTAGTCTTTCCCATTCTGTTGTTTTCCTCTATTTCTTTGCATTGATCACTGAGGAAGGCTTTCTTATCTCTCCTGGATATTCTTTGGAACTCTGCATTCAAATGGGAATATCTTTCCTTTTCTCCTTTGCTTTTCACTTCTCTTCATTCTCAACACAGGACCACCTCACTGATGGCAAGGAAAACAAGTGGATGGCCCACCCTTTAGGGCTGAGCCATTTTGACCTTTTCATTTGGTGACAGCAAATGAGAACAGTCAATGCATGTAAAGCACGTGGAACAGTGCCCAGCAAATGGTAAACGTGCAGTAAATGATAATGGCCTTCTTGCCCTCTCAGTCTCGGTTCCCACATAGCTCACTCTACCCACCATCAGTCAAGGATCTCTTCTGGCCTGCAGTTGGGCAGGTTAGCCAGGATGACCCTTGTTAACAATGAGATATGAGATTACAGACTGAAACTTAGATCAGTAAATGAGAAGGCCAGACTACCTCAGCTTAGTGGCATGGCGGTGGCAGAAACAAAAGCTCAGAAGCAGGGTCAAATAGAGGTGACTAGTGTTGAAAAGTTCCTGTCCGCTGGAGCACCAGACAGGCATCTGGTAGCCAATGCAACTCATGAGCTACCCACTACCCCCGCAGCCTAGCCCAGCACTGGACCATCGAAACAGCAAGTGGGATGCAGGGAAATCAGCCATGGAGGCAGTTGCCTAGAATCTTGAGACCATAATCTTGAGACTTCCTAGGGGAAAATTAATTTTGCTCATTACACCAGCACCCCTATAGCTGGAGGTGTGTGACTAGGCGTGACTGCTGGTGAGACAGGTGGCCCTTATTTAATAGAATAGACCCAAATTTTGTTTGGCAAATCCAACCAATTATCTTCCTTTCTCAACTTCCCAATTATCTTCCTTCTCATTATCCTGGGAAACATCAGATTGAGTGCAATCACATCACACTTAGAGGGATAGAAAATTTAGTGAAATCTCTTATTTATATGAAAAAGAAACCCATAACCATATGCTAAATTTGCCACAATTTTTCTCAAATATCAATAGAAATATTGTGCTCAAAACATCAGAAAATAGAACTGTTGAAAATAAAAGTATAATATAATCCCGGCAACCAGGCAATATCTGCCAATAACATACTGGAAAGCGTTAGCAGTGTGGTTCTGCTTTTAACTAGTGTCAAATCACCTTACTGCTTCCAAATTGACATTCAAGGTAATTTCCTATACATTTTGGGCACTTTGCCCATTGCTTCCCCTTGTTGGCCTCTTTCCAGACATCTGTGCCTGATTAAACCTGTAGCATCTGATGAGGATCCTTGGGAAGAAAAGCTAACAGTGCCTAAGATCTAAAGTGGCAGTCAATTTCATTGTGGAAGGCAAAAGAGGAGAAAAGAGCTAAAGGAGTCTGTGGATGGGGTGTCTCTCCTCCAGGCTTCCCTCGCAGAGGTTGTGTAGACAGACTGCAAGCTTTCATGTCATATGTCATAGCTGGAATCATTCATCTTCTAGACATTTCTGAGTCTCTAATGCCAGCCCCCACTCTCCTCCCAAAAGGCTTATGTTCACAATCTCCATGATCTAGCTTAGGTGGGCAATGCCAAAATGGCAGGTTTTCTTGGAGTTTCTATTCCACTAACCTGCAAAACGCATTCTAAGATCACATTCTCATAGTCACAGATGATAGCACAGATGGAAAAATTAACACTTATGAGTTAAAGTACTGCAGAATTCTGGTATGCACACTCTTCAAAGCTGCACCTGAGGGACTGCTACTACAGTGTCGGAGATGATGATAGATGGGAGTAACCAACAAAGCATCCATTATTTGCCAGCGACCACTTATCTCCCTATTTCTATGGTAACATCCAGGGAGTGACCAAGGTACTTGGACAGAAAAGAAAGGACCAGAAACCTTGATATCACTGCTTTTGAAAAGTTGCCAACTCTCTTTCTAGGGGTTCCTACACAAAACAAAGTGGTTAAAGACCAAATTAAGAAAGCAGGTCTTGGGATTTCCCTGGTAGTCCAGTGGTTAGGACTTGGCACTGTCCCTGCCAGGGTCCAGGTTCAGTTCCTGGTTGGGGAACTAAGATTCCACAAGCCATGTGGCATGACCCTCCCCCTCCCCCAAAAAAGAGGAAAGAAAAAAAAAGCAGGTCTTGTTCTTTGTTGATGTGCTATTAGCAGCCATTGAGTGAACATAGAAGGAAAATGAGGAGCAACTGAAAGCCACATTCTCAGGATTTGTCAAGAGAAGGGGGTAGCAAAAAAAGAAAGAAAGAAATAGAAACTATCTATTATGTTAGATTACATGTCCATTCTCAAATGTTCTAATAGGAGAATATATTATAATATAATAAATTAATCTTTAAATACTAAAAAGAAGAGTAGGGGGTAGCACATTGGGGAAAAGCACCCCTCCATTGTTTGGTAACGTGGTGATAACATGGTGGTAGAGTACAAGAGATACATGGTGGAAGCCTGAATTCTCCTTCAAACTTAGTCATTATTTCACTGTGTGGCTCTAGGCAAGTAAGTTCCTCATCCACAAAAACTGACATAATTTAGCCAGACTACCTGTCTACTTCAAAGCATGATGACAAAATTGCATTCAGTATACTTTGGTTTCTAATACTGGTTGAAGCCACCAAAAATCTCTGGATAAATATGTTTTTTTAATGTCTTAAAATCAATAAAGAACCACACTAATTATGAACTACCAGAAAGAGAAATTAAGAAAACAATCCCACTTGAAATTTCATCCAAAAAACAACAAAATACCTAAAGAATAAATTTTAACCAAGGAGATAAAAGACATGTATACTGAAAATGATAAATCACTGAGGAAGGAAATGGAAGAAGAAACAAATAAATGGAAATAAATTCACTGCTCATGTGTTGGAGCATGGGTTGCTTCTTAAAATGTCTATACTGCCCAAAGTGATCTACAGATTCAATGCAATTGTTATCAAAATTCCAATGGCATTTTCCACAGAAATCAAACAAAGATTCCAAATATTTGGATAGAACCACAAAGGACTCAAATGGCCTAAACAATCTTGAGAAAGAAGAACAAAGTTGGAGATGTGCTCCTTGATTTCAAACTATATTACAAAGCTATAGGAATGAAAACTGTATGGTATTATCATTAAAAAAGACACATAGATCAATGGAACACAAGAAACAGCCCCACAATAAATTCATGAATATATATATTCAATTATTTCATGACAAAAGAGCCAATTATATACAACGTGGAAAGGACAGTCTCTTCAATAAGTGGTGAGAAAATTGGATAGTCACATGAAAAAGAATGAAATGGGACCATTATCTTATATAATAAACAAAATTTAGATATAAATGGATTCAAGACTTGAACATAACATTTGAAACCATAAAGCTCCTAGAAGACTACAGAGGCCATAAGCTCATTAACACACATCTCAGCAATGATTTTCTTGGCTCTGACACCAAAAGCAAAGGCAATAAAAGCAAAACCAAATAAAGGGGACTACACTAAACAAAAAATTTCTGTACATAAAAGAGAACCATCAACAAAATGAAAAGGCAACCCACCAAATGGAACAAAATACTTGTTTAAATCATAGATCTGATAAAGGATTAATGTAGCCATGGAATTAAAAGATGCTTGCTCCTGGGAAGGAAAGCTATGACAAATCTGGACAGCATATTCAAAACCAGAGACATCACTTTGCCATCAAGGGTCCATCTAGTCAAAGCTATGGTTTTTCCAGTAGTTATGTATGGATGTAAGGGTTGGACCATAAAGAAAGCTGAGTACCAAAGAATTGATGCTTTTGAATTATGGTGCTGGAGAAGACTCTTGTGAGTCCCTTTGACTGCAAGAAGATCAAACCAGTCAATCCTAAAGGAAAGCAACTCTGAATATTCACTGGAAGGACTGATGTTGAGGCTGAAGCTCCAATCTTTTGGCCACCTGATGTGAAGCACCAACTCACTGGAAACTACTCTGATGTGGGAAAGATTGAAGGCAAAATGAGAAGGGAGTGGCAGAGAATGAGATGGTTGGCATCACCAAGTCAATGGATGAGTTTGAGCAACCTCTAGGAGATAGTGAAGGACAGAGGAGCCTGGCGTGCTGCAGTCCATGGGGTCACAAATAGTTGGACATTATTTAGTAACAGAATGACAACAAATCAAAATATATAAAGAACTCATATAACTCAATAGCAAAAAACAAAACAAAAACAATCCAATTAAAAGTGGGCAGAGGATCTGAACAGACATTTTTCCAAAGAAGGCATACAGATGCCCAATAGTCATATCAAAAGATGCTCAACATCACTCATCATCAGGGAAATAAAAATCAAAATCACAATGAGGTATCACCTTTCACCTGTTAGAATGACTATTATGAAATAGACAAGAAATAACAAGTGTTGGCCGGGATGTGAAGTAAAAGGAATTACATCGTTGGTGGGAATATAAACTGATGTAACTACTATGGAAAACAGTATGCTGCTGCTGCTAAGTCTCTTCAGTCGTGTCCAACTCTGTGTGACCCCATAGACAGCAGCCCACTGGGCTCCTCTGTCCCTGGGATTCTCCAGGCAAGAATACTGGAGTGGGTTGCCATTTCCTTCTCCAATGCAGAAAAGTGAAAAGTGAAAGTGAAGTCGCTCATTCTTGTCTGACTCTTAGCGACCCCATGGACTGTAGCCTACCAGGCTCCTCTATCCGTGGGATTCTCCAAGCAAGAGTACTGGAGTGGGTTGCCATTTCTTTCTCCAATGGAAAACAGCATGGGGATTTCTAAAAAGCTAAAAATAGAATTACCATATGATCCAGCAATTTCACCTCTGGGTATTTATCTGAAGAAAATGAAAACACTAAATGAAAAAGGTATATGTACTCCCATGTTCACTGCAGCATTATTTACAACAGCCAAGATATGGAAAAAGATGTGCAAGATTCACACATTTGCACATGTGTGTGTGTGCGCACATGCACGCATGCACACACAAGATGGAATATTATTCAGCCATAAAAAAGAACAAATCTTTCCATTTGCAATAACATGGATAGAACTTGAGCACATTATGCTGAATGGAATAAGTCAGATGAAGAAAGATAAATACTGGATGATTTCACTTTTATATGGAATCTAAAACAGAAAACAATCTAAGTTCACAGAGACAGAGAACAGATTGCTGCTTGGCAGAGACAGGGGGGTGGAGTGGGTGTAAAATGGTGAAGGCAGTCCAAAGGTACAAACTTCCATTATAAAATAAATGTCATGCATGGAGATGTAATCTATAGCATGGTGACTATAGCTAATACTGTATTGCATATTTGCTCTCTTAGCACAGTTGCAAAGAGAATAGTTCTCACAGAAGAAAAAAATCTGTGATTATGTATGAAGAAAAATGTTAACTAGACATTGCAGTGATTGTTTTTCAGTATATACAAGTACTGAATCATTATGCTGTATACCAGAGACTAATATAATGTCATATGTCAATTACACTCCAATAAAAATAATAAAGCTAATGATATTGGTTAAAAAAGAAATTAGGCTAATGGGATGAGAGGAAAGAAATGTACAGTAATGGTCAATAAAATATTACACATGTAAAAAACAAACAAACAAAAAAGATCTAACAAGGTAGCAAGTACTATAGGACAAACCTGAAGTGATAATAGGAACCTAAAAAGTTAAGTGAGCATGGAGCTAGTTTCTTTTGCCCTAAGGGAATTTTCTAATGCTAGAAAATTTGTTCTCATGTTGAAGCCTTGTGGGTCAAAGGGGACAGAAATCAAAGCCCAAAACAGCAGAATGTGAGAAATACGACAGGAAACTCTCCCCACAGAAATCCAGGGCTCCAAATAATTATACTTACAGGATATGGGTGAATCATACACGAACCTTCTAGACAGGGAGGGAGGGAAGGATGAAGATAGGGTGAGGAAAGCAGCCAGAGCTTCAGGAAAGAGGAAGATGTGGAAGGACTCAAAAGCCATAATTTAGACTTGATCTAGAACTAGTGGGGACCAGCACCAAAGGTTTGGGGCAGCAGAGGAGTGGCATATGAAGGGGTGTTTGGGGAAGCTGAACCTAGTGGCAAAGGTGGGGTATTGGGTAAGGTGAGTAGTTTCAGAGCTTCCGGGAGAAGAGTTAAACACTCTCTACGGGCATCTGGGCAGACTGCATCCCAAACATTCCCCTTGCATTGTCCCTGAGGGCAACCACCCAAGAGGGCAAAGTGAGAGCAATTCAGCCATCTCTTCTCCTCATCCCTGCCCAGCAAAGGTCTGTCTGGACTCCAGCTTTTGCCTCAGTGCCTACGCAAACACTAATAAGTGCCAAGGCATTGCCATGGAAACCACTGCTTCAGCTTTCTCATGGAATGCTCTGCAGCAGCGAGGCTTCCTGCTCTGGGAAGCTTTTTGCAAATATTTGAAGAAAATGGCAAATGCGTCAGCCAGGAGTGTACACGTTCAATTGGCTAGTAGGGTGTGGGTGTGGAAGGAAGGGGCTACATCATAGTGCACGGTCCATTGGGAAACTGACTTAGCTGTGGGGCCACTGGAAAACAATGACCTTTGATAGCCACAGTGCTTTTAGTTAATAGGCTGGGCTCCTAACAATGTTTTACCTGTTTCCATTAGCACAAGGTTATATCCTAGGACCTGAGAGTCTCAATAGCATGCCGCCACTCCAGGAACCCATCAGTGACACTCTGGAATTCCCTATGGAACAGCTCAACATGATGGAGTAAAGTCTGGTGGAATAACATGGAACATAGCAGGGCTGAGAACTGCAGAAGGGAAAACATCCACAATGATAATAACCAAGAATAAATCTTAGTTAATTCTGTGCAGAGCACTGCTCTAAGCACTTTCTAGGGGTTTTCTCATTTAATTCTCACAATATCCCGTGAGGTTGGTCCTATGAGCCTGAAGGAGCTTCATGATTTACCCAGACACTCACAGGTCACAGAGCTGAAGGTGTGAACCATGGTTTGTCATATGTTTGTAACCATTCTGCCTTCCTTTTTTTTCTTTCTGATGATGGCTTTATTGTGAAATATAGTATGCCTTAAA